AAATGAGTTTTCTAGCACAGAGAGATTGAAGCCGGTTCAGGGCTGTCCCTGCTGAACTACATCTTAATAACAAACAATGCCTCTCAATGCTCATTGGTTGATGGACCACTAAAAATGTGATATATTTGAGCGAATCTTGGCAATGAAATAAATGGTTATCCATTCATAAGTCATCTTACTCGTGAAAAAGTGACGTTACTTTTCACTTCTAGCCACCAAACATTGTTTAAGCTCACGCATACTTTACTTTACGTAGCTTTATGTAAATTATACTTTGTTACGTATCTTTATACAGATTATACAATGAAGCAATATGTGTATAGATGTGTGAAGGAGTTCCAGCCCGGGTGAGTCTTGAACTTGGTCTGTGTTCCGTCTTCCGCACAGCGCGTCACTCACCAGGGAATCGCTCCGTTCAGGCACCAACCCGAACCCCCTTTCCATCCCTCCTGTTGCCCTCTGCCCCATCCTTTCCCGAACTTCCCACGACTCTCCACCAATCCCATTCATTTCCCCATTCAACGGTCTCCCAACCGACCCCTCGCTTCCACTTCGTCTTCCGTGACGACCAATCCGATGTGAATGGCTCGCCATCTTCGTCGTAGATTGGGTGCCCCCCCCCCCCCACCCCCAGTGTCAGCTCCCCCTGTGATAGCTCCTCGCCAACGAGAGTCGAGCGCGTAATTCGATCTCACAGGGAGCGGCTAGACTCGGTGAGTGTATTTCCATGTATCTATTTACTAATCGGGGGTTGCCTCTCGGCATCCCTGACAGATATATCTACTGCGTATCTATATCCAGGAGAGCCTCAACGATTCTCAAGAATCATTGTCAGCATTTTGAAACTTTGGCCAATAGCGTTGGTGAGTGTTGCACTTCACGTGGGAGGAAAATTGAGAAACCCCATCACATATACAAGGGGGCTAACGCTCGATGCTCCGCGCAGATAGATTTACACCACAGACTCAATCCAGTGAGCGGATCAAACCTCTGAGGTCCGCACCCATTACGCATGTGCGATCTTCTGGTAGCTTACAGCCCTCTCTGCACCACGCCTCCAACACCTGACAAGCGTTGGTGGTGCGAAGCTAAAGCAGCGTTGTCTGAACAGGCTCCATAATGCTTAGCTTTCAAGCTCCAACGGTGATGGGGATCATTTAATGAGATGTCCTCAATGATGACAACAGTAACGATACTAACTCAACTATCTATCTTTAAACTTGTTTTTATTTTGCCAGGTAAGGCCCACTGAGCTGTATAGCTCTTTTTCAGAAGCGACCTGGCCACAAATAATAGCTTCAAAAAAGTGGCTTACCACGTGGAAATCTACAGCAGCTAGAATACTCGACACACATGATGTTGATTCTAAATGTGGAGGGAAAAGGGAAAAAAATCCGCAGGATTCGGAGAAAAATCGACGCGAACACGCGGAGAGAGAGAGAGACACTCAAACTGCAAATGTACAGCAGCAGGCGTAATGGTCGGGATCGAACCCACCGCCTCCTGTATACCAGGCGAGGTAGTTAACATCTCATAGCTACCGTGGCGCCCAACAACGACAACAACACGTCTCGTAATCTCTTCTGTGTTCAGTAAATGTTTATTTTGTACGACCGCGAAACGAATTCAGCAACGACACCGAAAACGAGAGACACAAAAAGAAGCCACGGCTAGGGGCATAGAGAGAGAGAGCGGCATCGGGGGAGCAGCAGGGCACAAGCGTAGCCATCGAGTGTGCAGGCGGTGCAACTGCACCAGAGCAGTCCATGCGCCGGGGTTGCCAAGGGAAGCGATTGAAATTCGACAAGGGGTAACCCCCCCCCCCCCACAACATTGCATTGATTGCCTCATTTAGCTGATGCTGGACATCTGTCAAAAAAGAGCTTCAAGCTTCATAGCTCATCGGATTTCTTCCCTAGTCGAAATAAAGATTCTGATTCCATGGTCCATTCTGCACGCCACGCGCCCTCTCCTCGTGCCTCTCGGTGTGATTGCAGGCACGCACCTCTGCACGCTTCCGTATATCGTCTCTCGCGATTGCCATGCCAACCGTGATAGCCAAGTGCTGGTGGGTAGCACTGGGGGTGACGAGGTTGGCAACATGAATTGCGGCAGTAGGGTGAGGTGGGGTATGTATGTTATGTTGAACTTCTTTCGCACCGTACGTAGCCAACCGTGCTCATCGGGGTGTGACTCCCCGGTGCTCCCCCATACCCAGCAAACATTCTCATCCTGCCCAGCCCCACCAAAAATAAATTCTCCCAGGGCGCTGCGTTCCCGAATCGGCACGGAGCTGAGTTTCTTCTTCTCCACGTGGTCTCTTCTTGCGTCGAGCATCCAGAATGCACCGGAGTAACGTTCACAAAGACACAGACGCCCCGTATAGCCTTAACACACTGTTGGGGCAAGAGCCGTTAGCGAGCACCGATGAAGGCCAGAACGATACACGAGAGGCTGGGTGGCCAGCACCACGCCCGACCGCCTTTGTCTCCCCAATAGCGATGCTTACACACCGCTTCCAACACACACGAGTAGTATTTGATTTGCACTTTCACTCACAGCAACACTAGAAACAGCCACCATTCGACACGAAGCGCCGGTGATATCACCACGGCGATTGTGCCAGGCTAGGTGCGCCTTGAGGCTACGTGAAGTGTGGAAGGTTCGCTGCTGGCATGAGATCACGGGACAGACCCAGGTGCCATGTGTTGACTACCTGAGATGACTGACTAATGCGCCGTCCGTGTGTGACACACACACATGCACGGTAAAATAAACACACACCACAAGGCTTTTGAGCTTTCGCAGATTAACGCCGTAGGCTTGCGCAAGCAACACAATGAATGACATTTCAATATTTAGTTTTGATTCTTAAATGTCACGCTAGTTGCCCAGTCTTGCTCTACGTACATGCAGCGTCGAGACGGCGATTTCATTGGGAAGAGACCCGTTCGTGATACACCCCCTGGCCAGCAACCCACTGACGCCACTCCGATTTGACCTCTGGCGGTGTAAAACGTCGTGGTGACATATTTTTTTTGGCGCTCAACACGCCCATTCGTTCTACGGATTGTGAAGAAGGCCGTTAGCCCGAAACGTCGCCCTTTTTATATACTTGTTCCTTTTTTTGTTTGTTTCCAAGGCAGCGTTTGTTGTCGAGAGCGTGTCGAGCCGCTCCGGTCGCGTGACGGTGGCGGCGTTGGGGTTGACGAGGAGGCTCCCTCCCCCTCATCTCGACCTCAAAGGCACGTACATACAACCTTTGCAAGCGTTACACGCACCTTCGATTAGCACGGTTGGCTACGTACGGTGCGAAAGAAGTTCAACCACACGCACATACATACAATGGAAATTAGCAAAAACATATCATATATATAAGAGCCTCCTGAATAATCTGGACTCAATAGCACAGCTGCAATTAATTTCACATTAATGGGCAATGTGTCGCATGTGTGTGTGTGTAACAGCGGTGTGATGTTCACGTGTGTGATTGGTGTGATGTCCACGTGCCCTGTGTGGTGTGCTGTTCACGTGTACGACACCGGTGTGACGTTCACGCGTGTAACTAACTGCGGTGTGACGCTCATGCGTGTGATTGGTGTGATGTCCACGTGCCCTGTGTGGTGTGCTGTTCACGTGTATGACACGGGTGTGACGTTCACGCATGTAACTAACTGCGGTGTGATGTTCACGTGTGTGATTGGTGTGATGTCCACGTGTCTTGTGTGGTGTGCTGTTCACGCGTGTAACTGCGGTGTGACGTTCATGCGCGCCGCCTTGGCTGTCACGTCCCGTGTTCTCGTCGTATCTGGCGAGGTATAAACGCGCACTCTGCACGATGTACATTGTTTTTTAAATGCGTGTGTGGGTGGCCATCGCTTGATTGCTCTGCATGCGTCACTTGAGAGACAGTCGGACATCAGATGTTCCATCTCAAGGGATTATCTTGTTGAAATATTTCGATTAAAATATCTCTTTCCCCATGTAGGGCAGATTGAGGCTGACACATTACCAGCGTTTTCTAAGTCATCACATACTCGCTTGTCTAATATACAGGTGCAGCGTAAAACTACAACAAAAAACGTCACGGTAACCGGAGATTCATTTTCAACCGGGGTTTGTCGGCGAGCCAGAAAAAAAAAATATTCCCGCAGCCGGAAAACACCACATCCAGTATAACCGTGCCACTGTGTGAAATCGTCAAGTGCAGTAACAGCCCGGTTAACGTCGGGGATGCGTTCCGGAATGGCGCGACGGCGAACATCGAAAAGGCGTCAATGAAAGCGATGTTAAGGGCTGTGGGTGGAGGCGGTGGCTGAGAGGCGACGGATAGCGAGAAAATACGGACGACGCTTAAGTCAGCGATGTAAGTGTGGGGGTTGAGGCGACGCGAATCGGGTAATAGCGGTGTGAATGACAGAGTGACGACGTGTTTGCAAAACGACGTTAAAGGGGGGAGACGAAAATCGGGGTGTTGCTGCACCACGCAAGTGTTTCCCCGTGTTCTCGGCGTATCTGGCGAGGTATAAACGCGCGCTCCACACGATGAAGATTGTTTTTTTTATATATATAATGCGTGTGTGGGTGGCCGACGAACTCAAGGAACAACGATCATATTGTCCCGTGAGAGATGAAGGCCTGGTTATATCCGTCTGATCGGGATGTGGCCCCTCTGCCAGCAGTGGCGTGAGCGAAACAGATGCAGGGCTGCGCCTTAACCTTGGTTGAGTGTCAGAGCGAGAACGGCTTCCGCGAAGTGGTGGCGGGGGAGGAGGGAGGAGCAGGATGGAGGGAGGAGGAAGGAGGAAGAGGGAGGAGGAGGGAGAGGAGGAGGGAGAGGAGGAGGAGGAAGGAGGAGGGAGAAAGGAGGAAGAGGAGGAAGAAGAGGAGGAGGAGGGAGGAGGAGGAAGGATGAGGAGGGGGAGGGAGGAGGAGGGAGGAGGAGGGAGGAGGAGGAAGGAGGAGGAGGAAGAGGAGGAAGGAGGAAGGAGGAAGGAGGGGGAGGGAGGAGGGAGGAAGGAAGAAGGAGGAGGGAGGAGGAGGAAGAGGGGGGAGCTTCCCAAAAAGTGAATCTTTGAAGTCCCTCTCGAATTGGGGAGTGAGCGGGTTCAACCACACGAGCAGAACACTATTTTTACATTAAGTATATATATTCTACCGTGTTCTGGTCATAAGACGCACTCCCTTCATTTTTGAACGTAAAAGTTGTGGGTGCGTCTTAAAATCCGATGTGTGTGACCAGATCCCGATCCTCCAATTGGCAATGTTGGTTACGTACGGTGCGAAAGCAGTTCGACATTACACTGCACACATTTGTATAACATTACTGACACACGGAAATAAGTGCGTCTGGAGAATACGGTATGCTGTATATATACTTTTTATATGGAGATGCTGGAGGGGAGGTGATTTATCACCTAAATAACCATAAACACTCCACTCTCGAGCGATATGAGATTCTGAATCACATCGTCTTGAGTTGACAGCCTCGAGATGGGAGTGCCACTTACCAATAACATTGGCTAAACGAGCACTATTTGATTAATGGGCGCCCGACTCTGCTGATGAGTCCCAGGGAGATCGAATTTTGGGCAGAGTTTTTGCGTGTTTACACAAGTGGCTGCTGGCGAAAATGGGCAGGATTATCCCGATGATTGTAATTGTAAGATTAAGACGTTGCGGAGATTAAGACGTTGCGGAAAGTAAGACGCACCCACAACTTACGCACGGTACCAATAAAGTTTCTACAGCTCTACACTAACACACGCACACACGCACACACGCACGCACACGCGCACACACACACACACCGGATTATAAGACGCACCCCCGAACTTTTTCTTTCAAAGACTGCACCAGTAAAAAGCGAGTCTTATCATCTGTAAGCATGCGGAAATCCCTGGAAGGCCCAATCGGCCAATAGACTAAAATATACTTAATTTGTATGTTAATATAAAGTCTCATAAAGTGATTTATTTTACCTAACTTATACACATATCTACTTTATTGAAACTGTATCAACAAAAACACGTATTCTTACCGCGCGGGAAGAGGGCTGTGACGCACACTCGGCTTTAGAGCAACCATCGATCAATCAATCTCAACATCCTCACGGTCGTCTCACGCGACCCCTAATTGGGATGCTCGTCGAGGGTGAATCGATGTTGACGGCCCTCCACGTGGCCGCCAGCACAGGTGGCAGGGCGCGGGGAAGCGCTCCTGGCGGCTGCCCATCAAGCGCAGCATTGTCAACAACACACGCACGGGGGGGGGGGGGAGTTGTTGTCGGCATCGACCCTCGCTGATGGCACCATCAAAGGCCGCGTCGGAGACTCTGTCGCCAATTACGCGTTGTCTGTCCGTCGTCGTCGGCTTCCGACGCGTCTTCTATTTCTTTCTGTGGCTATCATCATCTGTCCGCGTTGCTAACAATGCAATGTTGGGGGGAGGGGGGCGGGGGGGGGGGGTGGTAGGCGCTTGAGCGATGGAAGCAGTGGTCGGCGTTCTTGCGGTGAGTCGATATCTGGACAAGTTCAAGTGCCGGTTCCCACCCCGCGCCTCCTCCAACCACCCCGTTCACGAACCCGTAGCCGCACTGACCAGCCCGGTGAAGTATGGCCTAACAACAGCCACGGCCGATGCGAAGTGGGGGAAGGGAGGCCTTCATCCCTAAGTGGATTGACAACGGACTGGGAGTCATCATTATCATCATCACTATTATTATAACAGCGGCGTGAGATTGAAGCCGTACATTACGCGTTTAACTTTATTTTCGTCACAGTCGCATCGTAACTGTGCTCTTGACACCAATCGCGTCACGAGACGGAGGCAGCTCAACGAATTCCGACCTCTCGCAAAGCGAACTATGCACCACCCTGCGCCAAGGCAATGACGACCCGGGCGATAAAGAGGACGTCACGGGTTGGGATGCCGAAGAGGTGCGCACAGCAATGATTGCCCGTTGGCCTCTTGGTTCGTCGCCAAGATTTTCGCGTCGTGTGCATGAGACGAGTTTTAAAGGGGACTGTCAAATCACCGCCTCCTGCCGCGAACACCTGCGGCGAGACTTTCTTCTGGATCTGGCCGAGGGCGGCGTTGGACCAGCACGGGCTCCGTCTCTCGATCGCCACGTCAACCCCTCCCCCCCCCTCCCCTCGATCAACCCCCTCCCGACCCCTCCGTCTCTCTCACGACGCCTCCTTGCACTCGGAAATTTTCTTGAAGCTCTTGCGGAAGCTGTCGTCGAGGAAGGCGTAGAGGAATGGGTTGAGGCAGCTGTTGGCGTAGCTGAGGCTCGTGATGAAGTAGGAGAGGCCGACGATGAAGGGCGTCTGCTGCACGTCGGTGGTGAAGGCCACGATGGTCGCCAGGTGGTAGGGCGTCCAGCAGAAGAGGCACACGGCGATGACCACAAACACCATGACCGTGACGCGCTTCTTCGCCTTGTCCAGCGCCTGCGCGTGCGAGTTGAGGCGCATGCTGCGCAGACGGTAGAGCATGGTGCTGTAGAGCGCGCAGATGGTGGACACCGGGATGACGAAGCCGAGGAGGAGGGCGTAGAGGCGGCTGGCCTTGAGCCAGAACTTCTCCGGCTTGGGGAAGTCCAGCCCGCAGCTTGTCCTGTGCAGCTCGTCCGTGTAGGTGGTGGCAAAGACGGCGAAGGGCAGCACGATGAGCGTGACGAGCATCCACACGCACAGGGACACGGTCTTGGCCGCGCGGTAGGTTCGACGGGACAGCTTCTGAGACCTGACCGTGGCCACCACCACCAGGTAGCGGTCGATGCTCATGACGGTGAGGAAGAAGATGCTTGTGAACATGTTGAACTGGTCGATGGCGATGATGAGCTTGCACATGACCTCGCCGAAGGGCCAGTTGAGGAGCAGGTGGTTCGCGATGTTGATGGGCAGCACCAGCGTGAAGAGCTCGTCGGCGATGGCCAGGTTGAGGATAAACACGTTGGTCACCGTCTTCATCTTGGGGCCCTTGAGCACCACGTAAATGACGGCGCTGTTGCCCGTGAGCCCGATGGCGCAGATGATGGAGTAGATGATGGGCATGGTGATGTAGAAGTCGGAGCAGTAAGGCGGCGTCGCGCAGCCGAATGAGGTGGAGTTGCCCGCGTCGGCGTAGCCGTCCGCGCTGCAGTTGCTCCCGTTCGTGGGGTCGCAGTCGACGGCCGCCGGTCCCTGCATCTCGGTCCCCATTCTGCCAAGACGTTGTTAATTTATCCGCATCCCCCCACACACCGCACCCCCGAACACGCCAACCCCCCCCCCCCCACCACCCCCCCTTCTCCTCCCCAACAACGAGTTTCCTCGCCCAAATCCAAGGCAAGTTCTACCAATTACGAGGGTGACCATTAAGCGAGCGCCGGGAAACGTCTTGGGGTCGAGATGAATTGTGCGTGCATTGGTTGACCAATGTAAGTACGTTGAGCTTCTTTCGCACCGTACGTAGCCCAATCGCGCTAATCGGAGGTGCGGGGGGAAGGACAACAAAACTAAACACGCAAAGCAGTTCTAACGAAATGAGTTTGTCAATCTAGGCGATGTGAAAGTGCGTAGCTCCAGTGGCTTCCTAATATCGGAAGGAAGAGCGTTCCAGACGTCCGCAGAAGCGCATCTGAAAGCTCGCGATGATGCGGTGATCGCTGTCTTCCTTCGACGGCGAGCTGCTCCTGCTGCTGCTAGGATGACCACCGGAGTTGGCGTGGTTGATGGTCTACGCTCCTTGACTAGACCAGCGAGGCATCGTGGTTCATCGCCGCGTCACTGGGCCGAGTGCTCAACGATGCCCCCCTTCCCCCCTAATAACGAGGAGCGGATCGTGAAGAGACTCCTTGGTCGTATCCCTGATGAGTGGCCTAAGAAGACAAAGGGGCGTTCATTGCAATTAGCGAGCGGTTAATAACGCGGGCGATGCGCGATTCGTCACAAATTATCCTCGTTTCAGTCACGCGGGGCCTGCATATCGGTGCGATGCACCTTGTGTATCGCCTTTAACGGACTGTTGCGGCACGTGCTGTTAGCGAGGACCTATGAAGGCTGGCACGGCACACGAGGGGGTAGGTGGCCAACACCACACCTTGGTTTCCCCAATGCTGACAATTATACACCGCACCAGGTACTCATTTGAGGCTGAGTCGGCCTAGGGCAGTCTCAGGACCGGTTCATTCGTCGTGAGCGTGAAATCGATCTCTGATGGCTGGATTCGTAGCGCAGTGCGCTAATCACTGCGCCACCGCTCCTCAGTGATTAAGTCACGCACGCGCGCGCGCCCTCCACGCAGCGTTGCATTACAACGGATATGACAACGGAGACGCGAAATGTGTAAATAACTACAAGTCCCTTGGGCCAAAAATGTATGAACCGCAAGTGAAGTATGCTCCTACATCGCGGATAATTATGCGGACAATATCGACAACTCCTCCGAACTTTGTTTTATCAAACGCGAAACTGTTCCACGCGTCAAATGTTCCAAAATGCGTAAACATCGTTCTTGAAAGAACCCATCCACCGCTACTGTGCAAAGCTCTGCAATCCGTTGCCGGGTTCCACCGTGCGTTGCTCCGGCACGATGCCCGACGTTTCGCTGACGGGAAAGCTCCCCGGCACGTGGAGCGAAACGTCGGACATCATGGTCGAGCAAAGCACGCGGCACGACCCGAACACACGAGTCGTTTTTTTTATTAAGCTATTTAATCTTTGGTTCTTTCGGTGAAAGTCACGTGACTTTACCGAAAGAACCAAAGAGTATTTCCTGCAGTCACGAAAGCTTCAAATCAAGATGAAGCTAATTAATGTTGCACAAAGCAAACGACAGAGAAAGCGACAAAGCAAACAAAGGTTGGTGGTCCGTGGGCCATTGTTGTAAACCAGCTTGGGACTGAATGTTTCTTACCCAGCGTAAACAAATACAAGCAATCACAAAAAAAACACTGAGACGGGGTCATTGAATTATAGTGTGAATCCTTACCGAGGTGTGGACTGAGCAGCGGGGGGATGCGAAGGGGCCAGGCTGGAGCGAGAGGAGAGAGAGAGAGAGGCTGGAGCGAGAGGAGAGAGAGGCTGGAGCGAGAGGAGAGAGAGAGGCTGGAGCGAGAGGAGAGAGAGGCTGGAGCGAGAGGAGAGAGAGAGGCTGGAGCGAGAGGAGAGAGAGGCAGGTTGGAGCGAGAGGAGAGAGAGAGAGGCTGGAGTGAGAGGAGAGAGAGAGAGAGGATGGCGCGAGAGGAGAGAGGCAGGCTGGAGTGAGAGGAGAGAGAGAGAGGCTGGAGTGAGAGGAGAGAGAGAGGCTGGAGCGAGAGGAGAGAGAGGGAGACAGCAGAGGCGGAGTCGCAGCTCTGAGCGTGACTCTCCGAGTTCGAGTCCTAAATGCGGAGCTCCCCACCCCCGCAACTCCACCGTGACGCGGCGTGCGTGCTGCACGCGCCTGTTTGTGTGTAGGGGGGGGGGGGGTACCTGGTGTAGCGGTGTGTAGTAAACGTCGCCACTCGGGAGACAAAGGCAGCCGGGCGTGGTGATGGCCACCCACCCCGTCGTGTGCCGTGCCGGTCTTGATAGGTGCTACTCGCTAACTGCACTTGCCCCAACAGTCTGTTGAGGCTACCACGGGGAATCTTTGTCTTTGTTGTGCGACACGGTCCCGGCTACGATAATTATTCACAGCCCGCTGTCAATCCACTGCTGGATGAAGCCCCCCCCCCCCCACGCCGTATTGGTTTATGCGGAGGACGGTTTACATAATTAGGACGGTTCTATAATTACAACACAAAGGGAAATCACCGGCTTTGGAAGGTCGGTGATTATTTGGCCCCGTGCAGGCTGTGTTGAGTAAATGCATCATCGTGCGTCCACTTCTGTTCGAATTTGAGGGTTTCTATGTCACGTGTTGTCCCCCTCCCGGTTACAGGCGTGTAGATAATGAGCTCTGCTCTGCTCACACGGAAGACGTCAGGTCCCACACTTTGCTCATCTCCCCCCCCACCTCCAACTCGTAAAGCCACAGAGCCCAGTGTGGGAGAGGGGGGCGGGGTAGCTTCCGCGGAGATGGAGTGATGGGATCGCCGCGGTGGCGAGATGTTAACTACCTCGCCTGGTATACAGGAGGTTGTGGGTTCGGTTCCGATTCTGACGCGTGTTGTATATTTGGAGTGTGCGTGTATCTCTCTCTCTCTCTCCCCGTGGCCGCGTGGATTTTTCTCTGATTCCTTCGTTTTTTTTTGCCTCCACATTTGTGAACATGCGTTACGTGGTAAGCCACTTCGTTGAGCTATCATTTGTGGCCAGGTCACTTCTGAAAAAAATTGTCATATAGCTCAGTGGGCCTTGCCTGGTGAAGTTATATAAAAACATGTTATTGTTTCGTGAGTGCAGTTAAGATCAGCTTGTGTGCACGGAGCTCGACGGCTTGTTGCATCTGGAGGGCTTGAGAGTAAGGGATTTATCCAGCAGTGGAATTATAGACGACACAAGACTCGAATTCGATGGAGCTCAAGGGAAACTTCTCAGCTTTTCAGTGGGGGATTTTTTTTTTTACCAGCTGCGTCCTTAACACATCACCTAATGTGTGCCGCCAACGTCGCTGCAACGTTCACGTACATGACGCCCCCCTCCGTGAACGAGTATCGTCTGTGCGCGGCGATGAACAGTGGCATTCACGAGTCAAATTAGTTCAGCTTCACACCGAGCCCGGCAATTATTTGATTTCAATATCAGCACGACGTTGACTGCTCATTTGTATAAACTGTGTTCTTACATTTTTCACCGCATTCATTTCCCGCCCCCCCCCCCGCCCCCCCAGAAGTATTGATGCACAAGCGGTGTACGGTCATTGTTAGCACATCAGACTTGCGATTCAGGCGTTCTCGGTTCGATCCATGGGATTTTTGGAACAGAGTTTTCCATCAGAGTGTTTATTGTGGGGAAACCCTGGACCTGTTTTGAGTCCACCCGTTGCTTCCCAACTAATTTTGCATATGTGAGTGAAGCTTTACACATGGCAGTGAAACTTCATTTTAATTCTCACATAGCTAGAGTTTAAATGAAGTGCGTGATCAGGTTTTTTTTTTAATTGTGCAGTCATTGGAGACTGAGCTGAGGCCACCAACTCATGACAAAGACGAACACTTCATCGCGCGACGCTTTCAGATGCGCTTTTGCGGCCGTCTGGAACGCTCTTCCTTTTCGATATTAGGAAACCACTGCAGCCATGCACCTTCAAATCATCTACATTGACAAACTTATTTCTTTAGAACTGCGTTTTGCGTGTTTCGTTTAATGTCCTTCCCCCCACACCTCCGATCCGCGCGGTTGTCTGCGGAAGTCCGCGTGATGACGGTTGATGCTCTTTGACGAGAACAGCAAGGTACTGCGGTTCATTTGTGACAAGTACGGTACGAAAGAAGTTCGACACACGTACATACACACGCACATGCGCACGTACACAGCGAGGTCTTGGTTGACTCGCACGTGGGGGCCGCCAAGGGTTTTCTCGAGTCCAGGGCTCGAGCGGCGTGAATGTGGGCCACGCGTGGCCATCATCACGAGGCGCGTCTCTTCCCTCCGACAGTAATCGCGCACAAGGTGGGGGTGGACGTTGCGGTGACGCCACCGCAACAACAACAACAAAATACCACGCAATTTTCTTGAGGATCGGAGCCATCACATCACTCGGCGTACGATGTGAATAATTATTACCAAAAATGCCACGCTAAAAGCCCCTCTCTTGTGCCATACCGATCCATCACTGCACCCTTAAGCAATGAGCTTTGATTTACGTCGAAACAAGAAAGTGCCTTCTGACAATAAATTTACCGATTTCATAGGCCCTAATTGCACGTGTCCATGCCCTGTGGCTGTGCACCCGCGGTTATTTAGTGGCGTTTTAAGGACACCTGAGGCAACTAATGGGAAAAAGGAGGAGAGATATACGCGTTCAGGGCGCATGACGCTGGCAATAAATGTGAAGGGAACCTTAGTAATAACACAAATGAATCCATACACTTAAAAAAACCAGCTTGTTGATATTGCATTAAGCTAATTAATGCGACGAAATAAATAGGCAGACATAACGCCTCTTTGCCGTGTTTGTAATTTCATATGAACAAATGTTACTTTTGTTCCCACATCCCATCGGCTACACAGCATTCTGGGAGTGCATTTTGTCAAGGGCGTCGGTATACTTGCAAGCGAACTCTCGACCAGCTTCGACATTGAGTGTCGCATCAGCAGATTCGTGAACTGCGCGATGTCCATAGGCGTGGA